ACTACACAATGTTGTCTGGCGGCTCCTCGGGGGAGGGCCTTCTCTGTAGCTGCCCCGGCCCTATGGAACGATCTACCCGTAGAGATCCGGACCCTCCCCACTTTCTCGGCCTTCCGAAAGTCTGTTAAGACCTGGCTGTTCTCTGATTGAGCTTCAGCCCCATTAACATCGAGTGTATGTTGTGTTCTTTTTAATCCACTGTTTTGTATTTTAACTTTTTGTATTTGTTTTTAAACTGTTTTTATGTAAGCCGACCGGAGTCCTCCGGGATTGGGCGGCATACAAATCTATTAAAACTTAAACTTACGACGCAGCTCTAACTGGGACAGGAGTACAGATAGTCCTCAACGTACGGCCAGTCATAGGTCCTGACTTACGATGCAGCTCTAACTGGGACAGGAGTACAGATAATCTTCAACTAATGACAGGTCGCAAGTCCTCGACTTACGATGCAGCTCTATCTGGGACAGGAGTACGGATAGTCCTTGATTTATGACCCCAGTTGAGCCAGGCATTTCTGTCCCTAAGCAAGTCATTAGTGAAGTGTGTATTGTCCCATTAGGCGACTTTCTTCCCACAGTCATTCAGCACAGTTGTTCAGTTAGTCACACGGTCGTTAAGTGAACCTGGCTTTTGCACTGAAGTTGTGAAGGTCACAAAAAAAGAGGGTTGTGCGACCGACTTCCAGGCACCGCAAGCGTCATAAATATGAATCGGTCACCAAGCGTCCAAATTCTGATGCCAATGCTGCGACAGTCGTTAGGCGTGAAAAACAACCGTCCCATTCTGTGCCACGCCAACTTCAAACGGCCGCTAAATGAACCGTCGTTAAGCCAACTGCCAACCGACGAACAGGCCAGGTTTCGAAGCACAGGAAGTTCTCCCAAAAACGAGTCACTTTCTCCAACACACGCAAAATAAAAAGATAAAATAAAAAACCAGGCTTATCTTCTCAAAAACGAGGATGGTTGGGTTTTTTGTTTTTTTTTAGCCTCGTTTTGAACTCGACACCCATCGGATAAGTCATCCGGATCGTTCCTGACAGCTATCCTAGGACACCCCCGATTGAAACAGAGGAAGTCAGGCGGGCAAAAATATCCCCACACCGACCTTCAAACATCTTGTCTCTTTTTTCCTTTCCTCCCCAAAACGGAGACGGGGGGGCCCTGGGGCTGTACGGAGTTTTGAGACGCGGCGGAAGAAATTTCCCTTGGCGAGTCTCGAAAGGAGACTTTTGATGCTGAGATGACGGGGCGGGAAGCGATCGAGTTAGCGAGACGAGAGAGGGAGGGAGGGAAGCAGAGAAAGAGAGGGGGGGAGAGAGAGAGACAGCGTTGTCCTCCTCTTCCTCCTCCTCCTCCTCTCTGCAAACTCCTCTCACCCTTCTAGCACTGATGATGGTCCCTAGTTGGGTCATGAGAAGTCTGCAGGAAAACCACCCAGCTCAGAGAGCAACAAGGAGAAACCCCTGAGTCCTTTTCTTCTTCCTGTTCCTCCTCTTCTTCACAAACCTCCCTCCCTTCTAGCACTGATCTCGTTCCCTAGTTGGGTCATGAGACGTCGGCAAGAAATCCACCCAGCTCAGAGAGCAACAAGGATCCTCCAGGCCTTCTCCTCCAACTCCCTTCTAACACCGAGGGTGTTCTCTAGTTGGGCCATGAGACGTCTCCTCCCTTTCGCTCTCCCCCCTCCTCCTCCTCTTCATCATCCCCTCCCTCCCTCCCAGAACTGATGATGTTCCTTAGTTGGGCCACGAGACGTCTGTAAGGAAACCGCCCAGGCTCAGAGAGCATCAAGGACCCCGCAGTCCTTTTCCCACTTCCCTTCTACACTTGATGACGTTCCGTAGTTGGGTCACGAAACGTCTGCAAGAGCTCAGAGAGCATAAAGGACCCCTTTAGGTTTCAACCCCTAAACTGCACACCGTTTAAAGCACCCTGGCTGGGGAATTCTCGGAGTTGGAGTCCAGTCATCTTAAAGCATTCTGGCTGGGGGAATTCTGGGAGTTGAAGTCCACCCATCTTAAAGCAATCTGGTTGAGGAATTCTCGGAGTTGGAGTCCAGCCCTCTTAACGTTTTCCGGGTTGAAAAATGTTGATATAAACTAGGTCATTTATTTTTATTTTTTCTAACTCATTCAGGGTATTTACTGAGCCGACTGGGAAGAACCAAGGATTGTGGGTTTTTTTCCCTCCCTCTCTTTTAAAAAGCCTGATTGGTCGACAGCCAAAAGAAACTTTTTAATAATCGCTTTAATCCCTCAGCCGGTATTTTCCTCCGACCCCCGAATTGCATCAGGAATTGGAACAAGTTCAGCTTTTTATTCCTAGACC